AAGAGGTTGAGCTAGGCTGTTTTCTGAATCCCAGTATTTAAAAAAATTTGTACTGTTCTTCCCATTACATGCACAGAGTGTATTAACACTCTACAGTCCCATTTGATTGACTTTTAAAATGCAAGCAGCTTTATTTTCTGAGCATCTGTTCCCAAGCTTGGCTCCTTTTCATTGGAAAAAACTGACTGGAAATTGTTTCTTTAGGATTTTCCAAGGTACAGAATATCTTTGCATCTGCAGGAATACAAAAAAATTGCATAACAGTAATTTGTCAGCTTACAGTTTGGTGACCAGCCTTGACATAAAATACATGGCAGCATATGTACTTGCAATGTGAGTGTATGTCTAAGAAATCTTGTAGCTTGATTGAGCCACATATGGTGCAAAAAATACTCAAATTATCAGTGAGCATCGAAGCAGGTTTGTTTGTTTTAAACTTGAGCCCTTCTTTCTGCTCTGTATTTTAGCTAAACTGATATTACTTACTAATAAATCAGTGTATCTATGGACAAATCAAATAGTTAAGGGAAACATATATTCTTGTCAGAAAATCTTGATGCTGTTATTGTTCTGAACAAGATCCAGACTTACTCAAGGCTTATAGAAAATTCCAGACTGAAGCATGCCAATTGCATGGAATTTTTTACTTTGGGTAATTTTTGTTCTCCATTCCACCATTTTACCTCAAGTACTAAGAGCTGCTTTCCTAAGCAAAAAGAATTGTTGAATTGTTTGTATGGTTTCCCTTCCCCAGCACTAGTATACACTAGTATACAAGAACACACAGTGCTACTGAGGGAGTCTGTTGGTTTTTGTAAGAATCAGAATTCACAGTCTACGAGATGTAATATAAAAATTTTTTTTTTTAATCAGCTGATTTTAAAACATTCCACCAGAGTGCTGGCTACTAGCCAGAAGAATTTCATTTTGATTGGACCAAGAAGTCAAAAGAATGTGGAGTACAAAGAAACTGAAATATCACTGTTAAAAAACAACTGTCAGAATTCAGCACTTGACTGGATTAGATACAATGATTACCTTGACTATGAAAAAGAATCACTGAGAAAGTTATGTCTTTTCATATATTTGGAAATTTCATTTAAAACAATTGCAAAGAACTAACTAATGTGCTTAGTTAGTTAGTAATGTAACTTTGGGTTGCAAGAGAGAGCCTGGGATGCCAAATGTTTGTCCTGTTTCCAGCTGCTGTGCAAAACATTTGGCTTAGACTGGCAGCAGCAAGCTGTTGAGGTGTTCTGTGAGAATGATTCTGTAATGGATTTACTGATTTGTATAAATCTGATTATTAGTATGTTTCCACATACAGCCCACTTCACCTTCATTAAGCTTTATCTGTTTAATTACAACCTTGCTTTCACTAGAGAACTATTTAGCAACCAGCAGTTTCTTTTTCATGTGTGTGTCCAGATTCCAAATCTGTGGCAAGACAATCAGACTTTCAAGGGTGCTCTGACTCTAAGTTTCCCATACTTTCTAAAGTTCCTGTTCCATCTTTCCACTCTTCCTTCAGTGTAATAAACCATCAAGAATATAAAGATCTACATTCTGCTTTTATACTTCAGCCTTTTTTTTTTTCTTCACTTTGTCACTCTGCTTTCTTTGAGCTCTTGTAATGAGCACCGTAAGGTATTTCATCTGAACAATTTACCACTTTGAAGGAGTCTGTCTGAAAATGAATTACTTTGCAATTAAAAAGTGGATGTATGGGAAGTATCTCCCTTACTGATTCACTGTCAGAGAGAGAAGACAGTCGCCTTTTTCCTTTCTGCAGCCCACTTATCTCAGAAGACTGGCTGGTTACGGTCGCTCGTCTGGAGGAAGGATAACTGCTGAAAGACTGTGAGTCTTTAGGAGAAACTCTCATCAGGGATCCAAGGCAAGGAACATATGTTGCAATGGCTGTTCTAATGGATGAGAGGTAGAAACAGTCAGATTTTTTCTGTTAACACAGATGAACTAATGCTGCATGTACTGGAAAATTACTGAGTATGAAGAGTTTTCCAGATATCCAATTGCATATACAATCACCCTGCAAGATCACTTATTCACAGTGTTCAGCAGAACTCAAATTTATTGCTTGGCAGGGATAAGGGCATTAAAGTGTAACTCTTTGAACTGAAGGGAGCTATTAAAATGATGCTTTATCTGCCTTCAGCTTTACCAGGGCAAAAAGAAAATTCTATCCCTTTAAACTGAACCTTGCAGAAGAACCTTGCTTCCTCTTACACATCTGCTTGCTAGCTATCTATAGAGTTGTACAAAAGTGCAGTTATGTTATGGTATTTCTTTCCTCATATGCAACGTAAGGAAACTTTTGCCTAGCTTTCCTCTTCCTCCCAGCCTTCCCCACTTAGATGTTCATGCCTACTTCTCTGTCCAGTTCCCCAGTAGGTCTTTGTACAGGCTGAAACAGCAGCATATATATGGCTTTGCTGCCATCCGTCAGATTTCACAGCCTGCATCTGAACTTGATACAGTAATGACCCTAGATGTTACAACTCAGAAGAAATCATATCTGAAATATGAAAGATGGAAGAAAGGTGGAGAAGATGCACAAAGTAGGGAAGAGGTGGATTAACTTACTGAATTACATCTCTCACTGGCCTGGTTAGTTTAACAAACTGCTATTTGCAACATTGACAAATGTCTGAATCTCTCATGAAGATAGTTAAAAAATATATGGTGCTTTCCTTTGAGGTGAGAAGGTGTTAATCTTTTATCATGTAATCTGTAAGTACAGATCAGTATCCATAAACATTTCTAACTCCCATCTGCATAGTAATTTATTCCAAGTACAAATTCCACTGACATTTATTTGGCATTGAGAAGTTTTCTTGGGGAGGGCGTGGCTGTCCTGCAGAGTTCAGGTACTAGTCCTAAAAGTGACAAAGTTACTGTCTGATTTTCTTTGCTATATTAAACATAGCTTATAAGACTGAACTTACCTGTATTTGGGGTGAGCGATGGCATAAATGATTGGGTTATGGATGACAGAAGCTTTGGCAATCACAGCTGGTATGGAGTTCATGAAAGGTGTTAGGACGTGGGAGTACCTAGAGTAAAGCAAATGCATTATATTTTTAGTATTGAGTTCTATGTAGTCTATGCATTTACACACTGACAACACAATGCCTTGTTAGTCCTCCAGAGAGAGTAAAAGGGGGAGTTCTGTACCCAGACAGTGAGAGAACAAATTTTACATCCTTTGCCTGTAAAGATCAACAGCAGCCTAATTGCATTTCTGAGAATCATGATTTTCTTGGAGCTTCTCTTTCAGCACTTCACTCCCATGACTCAGAATGGTGGTAGTTCCCATGTTGTTTACCCTAGGGACAAAGTCAGCCTTCAGTAAGTGAATGCGCATTCGTCAGAGTATCTATCTGTTCCGTACTCAGCGGATATACTTGCTGAGAATTATGTCACTAAATAGGTGGGCAGAATGAGGCATTATAGGGAAAGCTATCTAATAATTCTATTTTCCTATTCAGACTTTGTTTTTTGCCTGATATGAAGTGAAGGGGAAGTATTTTTCTGAACTAAACAGTGAAGGGAAAGTATTTTCGGGTGTCATGGTATGCTCATGTGTTACTATGATCATGCATATATGCAGGTGATGTGACTCTAAAGGATAAAAGAATTATGATTGATGGCTAACTGCCATGCTGCTATCAGCCAGTGCATTTTTGAAGACAGCTTGAAGTAGCCCATGAGGTCTTGGTCAGAAGAAAGCCAATAGAACAGCTCAGACCAAAATAACAATAACATTTCATAGCCAGTTTCTACGAGGCAAATTCTCCATAGACTTGCTTAGAGGCCATGAAGACCTCTTCCCGCACTGGTAGAAAGAGTTCTAAGTGAACTGGCCCAGGAAGTCAAGTCAGTCTTTCCTCCCAAAGATAACATCCTTTATCACTGCTCTTCTTCCCAAGAACACTGTCTAAGCTCCGTCTTTCCATTAGCCTTGTATTCCTGTAGCGTTATGAGAGAAAACAGATTTTCCTCTCAATCCTCTCTCAGAAGAAGGTCTCTCATATGAGTGCTGCAAACAGCAATGAAGAAAATTATGTAAGTATGTAGCAGCTCATCTTCCTGGTGAAGAAATTTTTCATCATATATGGAATTATTTATGCCCTGTGATGAGGTGGATGTGGTTTGCCAGTGGTAATACAGGAATAATTTTGTCAGCTGCCTGAATGTTGAGATGCCATTTCACCTCTAATTTAAGGCTTTTCTCTGATAAGAAGTATCCAATTAGCATGTTCTCCATATACAATTTTTAACATGGTTTCTCCTAATCATATTTTTAAAGTGTTGGTTAGAGGTGTAATTCTTCACAAGATCTGGAGAACACACAACAGTATGACCTTGCTGGAATGGAGTTTTTGACCCCGAGATGAGAGAGAGAGTGCTTTGGTAAGACTGATGGAGAGTTCAGCTAACAGAAACAAACAGTGATGGAGACTTAGGTTTAAGCTAACCACTCCTAGAAAATACAATCTGTAGACCAACAATATTAGTTAGCATGACTGGGTGCTAGCTAAGTATTCCCCATCCAAAATATTTTCTGAAGGAATCCAGGTTCTTCCTTCATTTTGTGTATGGCGTTGTCTTTAGTCCAAGACTAGCCACAGGCTCCATGTCTGCCTCCCATATGTGGCATGTACTGATTTTATCTGAGTTCACTGTAATAAATGTCCACAGAAGGCTTCCAGGCTTTGTCTATTAATCTCTGAAAAATCTCAGAAGGATTGCTTAAAAGGCAGAGTTCAGAAATGAAAAAAAGCTGAATGAAGCTATGTTGCTCACCAGGTGTCTTCATAAGCAAAATTTGAAATGCTCCTTTGTCACATACTGTAGAGTTATAAAACTGTCCATTTGTTAAGATTTTTGTCAGTGTGAGACATGGGCTAGAAATCAAGTTCAGTTCCTAAAGTAGGTGATGAATTGTGTGGGACAGCCTGACAGTTCTCAATAGCTAAAAGGCTTATTTTATAGCATCTCCTATTTTTTTTTTTTAATTGTCTTAGAGAAAGTAGTTCTGCAAGGTAGCTGTCCTCATTTCTTTGTCTTCTTGCTTTTTCCTCTGTCTCTAGCTGGTCATATATCACCAGTGGTGGGTGCTCAGTATTTAAATCCTCCTATGATAGGAGACAGGGCACTGGGACACATCCTAAGGACAGGCATTGCTGAGTGAGGAACCTGTTTACTTTCATGGAGAAAATGTTTGCTAGTGCTTGGAATTGCCCCTCTGGATACAAAGGGAGAGAATCCTCTTCTCTTAGCATATTTTCTTCTTAACCATAAGATTTTAGAAGGGCTGTGTTAGGAAGGTGCCTTCCTAAGCTATGTTTGAGAAAAGGCCCTGCAGTGGCCTCTTCCTTAGATATGTAACAAAAATCACCCTGCCTCCCAAAATGCGTGATCACATTTATACCGCGTGTCAATTTTAAGAAGACCTACTTTTTACTTCTGATTTGAAAAATATAAATAGAAGTGTTCTGTACTGTCATAGGGGTCTTCCACTTGAGGATATGCAGCTGACAAGACTTTCTAAAGCAGATAGTCACATACATTTTAAAAGGGATAAACTGAAGCACAGGAAAATTCACATGTTAACATGCGAGAAATATCCACATAGAGCCAAAGCATCCATAGAATCATAGAATCATAGAATCATTAAGGTTGGAAAAGACATACTCCCAATCTGTTATTTATAGCTGGATTGTATCAACTATAGTCTGGTGTCAAGCTATGTACAGATACTGTATTAATAGTATCATGCTTTTGTTAGCATTTTGCTGCTAAATAAAGTTCAGATAGTTCAAATATTGTAGCATAGAGAAGCTGCATTCAGAAATCATCAGCACGGTAATTTTATGTTGCCAGTAATAACCTTCCTGTTCCTTTTTTTTTTTTTTTTTTACTTTTTTTTTTTTAAGTTCAAACTGAGAAAAAATCACAATCAGCATGGGCCTCCTTTGTTAAATGTCACTCCTAAATACGTAAATGTTTTCGGATGAACTTCAGGGATTAAATTTGACGCATAGCTTTGACTATCATCTGTATTTTACGATTTCACACCTTTTGCTTTCACCGAATATACCTTTGCTGATACATTCATAATTACCCAGCAAAAGCTACCAGAGCAACAACAGAGTATGGTGACCAGGAAATGACATAAAGCAAGATGACAATTAGTGCAATTTTGGCCATCTTCCACTCATTTTTCATCCTCTGGTACTGTTTCTGTAACTCTTTATTTCCATGTTTGCATCCAAATGTCTGAATAGACCTACAACAGAAAAAAAAAAAAAAAAGAAAAAAAAAAAAGGAAGTTTAGCAAATAGCTTTATAAAATGGGGCAACAATTATTATTATGTTAGTTTATGCAAAAAGTCATGCACTTTTAATGTGTGTTAATGTATGCATGCGACCGGTCCTTCGTAATTCTATGTGCCTTTGTTGCACTAATCAATGACAAATTTTGCATGTGCTTCAGTGAAGAACATAGTCCTGTACTAGAAGAATTTCCACATAAATCAGGTATTCAAGACAATTGAACAAGGCTGTATTAGATAGAGTTGGACGTGTCTTTCCTTCCCTGTGTCTGATGTTGCCACCTTACTCTCACTCTGTACTTACAGATATCTACAGATTACAAATGTAGTGGCAGACATTGGCCTTTATTTTTTAAATAGTTTTTTGTTTCAGAGACCAGTGATTAAATGCTTTACCTCTTTTTCACCCTTTGTCAAACACATAATTTGTAGTTCAATTCCATGTATTTTTCTGTGGGATAGTTGTTTTGTTAGGTGTCTCTGATGTCCCTTAGTATTTCTATTGGTTGGCTAATTTCTGTAGTCCTTTCTCATCCTTCAGATTTCTATTGCTGATACTCGTACAGTTTTCTGTGTCATTAGACAATATACTGAACAGCTCTGGCTTAAATTCAGGAATGGCCCTTCTAGGCATCATACTTCTTACCATGTTGACTATTGACAGAATTCTTGTTTGGTTTCCTGTCTCAGTCATGCATACAAATTAAAAGTGAAAAACTTCCCAGTTTTCTTCTGTTGATCTTTTTTTTCAGGAAAACAAGTAGTTACTTAAAGAGAAGGATAAAAACTTGAGACTATTGTCTGCTTACTTGTTGGCCTTCTTGATAGCCTCAAATATAAAGACATAGCTGTATATGATAGCAATCAAAGGAATGAAAAAGACAAAGCAGAAAAGCATCATTGTGTAGGCACGGACTGATGGTGTGAAAGTCATGTAGTCCCAGGAACAGGAAGTCAGCAGACCCTCGGGAACATATGCACCTAGAAAGAAAGATAGGAGAAGGCATAAGCCATGAAGTAATTCACTTATTCTGAGGGTAGAAGTTAGGGAA